GGAACCCCTGAGCATTGCTGGGCGTGACCCCCCAAAAAAGAAAAAAAACAACCCCCCAAAACAACAGGTCTACGGTAGAATTATGTGCTGCTACAAGATATTAGAAAGCATATTAGAGATTATCATGTTTATTAAGTGCCTATTGGTTGAACAGAATGGCATTGAATGGCTCATAGTCCACAACTTCATTCAACAAATACCCAAAAATGACATTAGCAAGATTTGTAGTGGAGGCTGGTTTCCCAAGGCTGGTACATAGATCATTTCCTGATGGGGACATTCATCAGCACAGATCTTCAGAGTGAAATTCTCCACTCTGCATATAAGGAACACATTGCAGAGTGATACAAAAAAATATTTTGTATTTCTCAATTTTCTTTCCTGGGCAGAAACCCGCAGTCCAAAGGCTTTCAAAAACTCCAGGGATCAGAGTGATAGTACAGCAGGTAGGGCATTTGCCTTGCACATGGCTGACCCGGGTTCAATTCCTGGCATCCTACATGGTCCTCCGAGAACCATCAGGAGTAATTCCCAAGTGCAGAGCCATGAAGAACCCCTGAGCGTCATTGGGTGTGACCCAAAAAGAAAAAAAAACTCCAAAATTGAAGCTGATTTAGCGTAAAGAGAGGCAGTTGGATCACAAAGTAAGGTCACATTTAGCCCCTTGAACACAACTCAAGATCAAAAAGGCCAATTCTGAGGCTTCCCATTCACCACTAGCAATTTAAAATAGAGATTCACAGGTACTCCTCTTAATATATATGTGGACATGGGGATGAAGAAGCAAAAATGAAGACTGGAGGGTGGACAAAAGAAATCATGAATGTATGTTACCTTTTATATCCCTCTAGAAGCTCTTGTGAATTCGATGACCTCAAGTTAAGTTAAAACCAGCAGCACGAATAGAGCAAGAATCCCCACCCCTCCAAGAGGAAATGGGGGAGGTGGGCTAATAATAAACATCACAGCTGACTTTAATATACCCGGAATTGAGACAGTGTCACAAAGCTCTCACAGCTTCACGTCGTTTATCTTCAATTAGAATTATTAGCTATTCAGCAACTGAAGCCAAAGAACTGCTGATATGCTGCAGAAGAGAAAACATTTGCTCATATCCCAGCTCTTGCTTTTCTTAAGCTGAACGGTGGTCACACAAGAGAGAGATCACTGGCTCCAGAAACCCGCTCGGGCTTATGTGCATAGAACAGGCGGCACTGCCAGCATATGTATCATGTACATCTGCAGCATTCCTCCATTCCTCCAGGGGCTCCGCTGCAAGTCTTCCGTTTTACTGGCTCTAACATTCAGGCCCGAAAATCACACGAAAATAAGTGAAAATTCAAATTCTGTGTGTTTGTGTAGTGTGCGCACTGCCTCACTGTGTGTGATGCCAGAAATTAAACCCAGGTCTCATATATGGGAGGGGTGTGCCTACCACTCCAAAATTGAAATATATGCCTGGTTACACAGTTTAGTGGGGGTTTTGGGGAGGGGGGCGTGATTTTTTTTTTTGCTTTTTGGGTCACACCTAGCAATGTTCAGGGGTTACTCCTGGCTCTGCACTCAGGAGTTACTCCTGGCAGTGCTTGGGGGACCATATGGGATGCTGGGATTGAACCCAGGTTGCCCATGTGCAAGGCAAAAACCCTCCTGCTGTACTATCTTTCCAGCCCTCGGTCACTCAACTTGTAAACAAAGATTGTGTTATTCATTGTGAGAGAGATGCTTACAAAGATGTTCATTAGGTTTCAGTTCATACAGTGTTCCAACACCAATTGCTCCTCCAGTGTACATTTCCAAGCACCATTGTCCCCAATTTCCCTCCCATCACCCACCTCCCCACAGCCTGTGTCTATGGTAGACCTCTTCTCTTCTCTTCTCTTCTCTTCTCTTCTCTTCTCTTCTCTTCTCTTCTCTTTTCTCTTCTCTTTTCTCTCTTCCTCTCTCTCCTTCTCATGCTTTGCAACAGAGATACTGAAAGGTTATCCAGTATATCCCTTTACCAACTTTTAACACTTAGTTCCAGTGTGATCATTCTCAGCTATTACTGTCATACTGGTTCCTTCTCTTACCTAACCTCTACTCCACACATATTTGGGGTTGATTCCAACCATTGACGGTCCTTCCTCCTAGTCCCTGTTTTTGTTTTCCCTGGCTGTGGGCTGTGGATATGTCTTCTAATATATGTATGTATGTATGTATATATATATATATATATATATATTCTAATATAGATTATATACCACAAATGAATGCAGTCATTCTGTATCTGTCCCTTTCTAGCTTATTTCACTTAGCATGACAGCAAGTCCATCCATTTATAGGCAAGTTTCGTGGCTTCATTTTTCCTAACAGCTGTGTAGTATTCCATTGTGTAGATGTGTCATAGTTTCTTTATCCATTTGTCTGCTCTTAGGCACTCGGGTTATTTCCAGATTCTGTCTATGGTGAGTAATGTGGCAATGAACATAGGAGTGCAGAAGGTGTTTCTGCCATGTTTTTGGACCTCCAGGGTATATTCCCAAAAGTGGTATTGCTAGGTCAAATGGGAGCTCAATATCTAGGTTTTTGAGAAATGTCCATATTGGTTACACAACTTTTAAACCCAGGATTTACTCTTAGAAAATAAATGTTAGCTATTTTTTTTAAAAATCAGATTTCAAAGAGCTGAATATTGAAAATGTAATTTTATATCCTTTAGATGAAGTATTTCATCTCAAAAACATCTCACCTTCCAAGATGGTCAAATTAGTGTAACAGGATTATTCTGACACACCTGGAAGAATATGGAAGTGGTACCTGGTATCTGCCTGGGCTCTCAATTTACAGTTTATACTGCCACAACTGGAGATAAATACAACCCAGAAATCCATGCAGCCTTCTGTATTGTGTTTTTAAAGCATACCCAAAGGCGGCCAACGAGTATTTAATTTTGAAAACAGGTCTCACCTTTGAAAAGGCTTCATTCAATCTCATTCCAAAGGAACTCTTAGAATCTCTAATACACCAATAGGCAGGTTTGCAAAGTCCCCAAAGTATCTACCTACAAATGTTTTATTTTGATTTGGGGGGCCACACCCAGCAGTGCTCAGGGCTTACCCCTGCCTCTGCATGGAGGAATCATACCTAAGGGGCTTGGTGGCCATAAGAAGTGCCAGGGATCACAACCGGGGTGGTCATGTGCAAGGCAAACACCCTACCCACTGTACTATGGCCCTGGCCCATCCACAAAACCTGTTATCCCCCTGAGCATCTCTTAGGAATGACATTCCACCCAAGGAGGCCTGAACATGGCTTTGATATCTGGGTGTGTTTAACAGCTTCACTCATCCCTCAGGCTGTAAGACATCAGTCTAAGTCTTTAAAATAACAACAGAAACCACTGTTGTAGCAAATGAGTCTAAAAATTCAGACTCAGAAAGGAACAGGTGAGCAGTGAGGGCAAAATGCACCTGTTTCTCAGACTCCGTAGTTCTAGCCTTCTGAGCAGAAGTAGGTTCAAAATCCCCATGTCCCTCACCTTGGGTGATGGCCGTACACACCTGGACCAACCACCCAACACATAAAGGTTGCCAAAAGTGGAAACGGTTACATCAAGTCTTCATTTGTTCAAATGGAAAACTGCTTCAGTGCCACGTGACTTTCTATTTACAAGTGCAGAAACAGCAGCCTTGGTTATTTATCACAGGAGGCTCTCTTACCTACACATTTTACATGTGGAGCTAGATTTTTGTAAGTATTACTGGCTAATTAGAGTTGCTATGGAAACTTCTCTTGATTTAAGGGGCTCATTCACTTTAGAGCTTTCCTCAGAGTAGCCTCAGCATGGCTGAAGTCCTGGACCAGAGAACTCTTCACTTCACAAAGCTGCCTTGTCCACTATAAGACACTGAGTGGCACCACCTCATAGATGTCAACAGCACTCCACCAGCTGTGACCAACAAAAATGGAGCCAGAGTACTTGCTTGAGACCCAAAAATAAATCTCAAAAGAGATCCAAAGCCGCACTTAAACTTAGACCCTCACAAGGCTGAAAAGAATGGGGGGATTCAAGGGAGGAAGTGCGGGTTGGCCTGGTGCCCACCCAAGCAGAGTCCCTGGCAACCACTTGCTTCTACAATCCAAAATCTCTGCCATGCCCCCTGGTCTGACTCCACCGTCTCGGGATAGACCTCCGACACATAATCTGCTACAAGTTCAGGTATGCAGGTTTTGTTACTGAAATCTCCAGGCCTTCCAAGAGTGGGGATGGGCTACCTCGCCCCACCTCCCTGTACCTCCAGAAGCCTCGACAGGCACCTCCACACCCCAAAGCTGCCACCCAATTGAAAAGCTACTCCAGCCTTACCACCCTGATAAAAACACTGAACACCCTGAACAAACATGTTGACCTCTTAGTACCCGAATTGCAAAGCACAATGCACAAAAGGAAAAGGAGACAGAGAAAGAAGAAAAGTGCCTGCCATACAGGCAGGCAGGGGTTGGAGGCTGGGGTCTTGGGGGATGGTGGGAGGGAAACTGGGGGCATTGGTGGTGGGAAATGAACACTGGCGGAGAGATGCATGTAGGATCATTATATGACTGAAACTCGATCATAAACAGTTTTGTAATGGTCTATCTCAAAGATACCCAACTTAAAAAAGAAAGTAACGTAGAGTTCATGGCTCCTTCAGTCTTAATCAGTGGCTGAATAAACAGCAGCACTCCTACATTTAAAAAAAGATGGAGCCAAAAGTTGCTTAGATACAAGTAAATTAATGTGTTCAAGAACTACTGCTGCTGAATAAAAATTAAAATTTATACCTGGATTCCACTGCATCGCCAGCCCCCTCACCCACCCACTCCAGGAATGTCCATTTTACAGGCATACGTTGACTTACATACATCAACAAACATCTAGCATTTAGTCAGATTAGAGCTTTTTTAAACTCTTATCAGAAACATAAGAAATTTATGAATGGGAGAGAAATGGTTAGGAGAAAGCAGGCTACATATTTGAAAGATGTATTTTATTGTCAGATTAGCAAGAATGATCTGGATCGTATCTCAGCTGACAATGACTCTAACAGAAAAAGTCTTAGTGTATATTATAATCTATTAAGCAGCATAAAGATTCAGGCAGTCTCATAATAAAAGGTGTTAACAATTATAAAAGAGGTTAGCTCAGACTGTATTCTATTCCTTGGTCAAATATTTTCAACAGCTGAAACTCTCGAGCCAGAAAATCTCAAGTCTTGTCTTTAACTTGCTTGCTTGCCCTGCAGAGTAACCGCTTCCCTCCAAGTACCAAAGAAACTCTTGCGTATCATGAAGAAGAATCCTGGTATGTGTAGAGCCGGAGATTATCTAGTTTCAAAGCCATTTCTTTTAGACCTACATCTTTGGTTTCACCGTGATTGTCGACTTGGCATACATCAATCTCTTTACTCTGTTCTTTCCTTACTGTCTTTAGACACTTGTCTAATTTCTTTATGAACAAGTCCACATCCTGTTTCGTCATGCCAATGGCTGCTGCAGCATTGAGGTAAGTGCACGGGTAATTATTTGCATGGGACATAAAGCCTTTGAAAGTGTAGCCATTCACGGTTTGCACAGACCCAAGAGGCACCACCCTGCAAGGGAAAAGATTTATTAATGTAATATGTCTGGCAAGGTTAAGAGAATGTCACCTATAAACAAGATATCTGTGTTACTAAGTCACAGCTATTTATTAAAAAGTTAAAACACACCCATAAATCATGGTCTATGCAAATAGAGTGTGCCCACACAGCTAGGCCAAATACAAAAGACTAACTCCAAGCCCCTGAGCAATGATGAGAAAGTTACCCCAGCAAAACCCCAAGTTATATGGGGCCAAGGATGTAGTTACTGAACCACACAGGCGTTGCATGTGTGAGGCACCGAGTTCAAAATCCCCAATGCGAAGGGGGGCGTAATGGGCCGTCCTTCACGCCCGACCGAGGTCGCCAGCTGCCCCCCACGAGCGGCTCTCCTGCACGGCCACGACTCCAGAGCACAGAAACCAATCTCTTAACTATCTAACTTTTAATAGAAATTCTTCCAGGGTTAATAAGTAAAATAGCAGAAATCCAAAACATTTTATTCTTAAACCAAGTTGTAGAAAGCAAATAATTTCACAACGCTTTTTCAGCATGTCTGATTGCGGGGGGGAGGAGGGGGAGAGTCGTAAACTCTAAACAATAATTGTGCATCTTCTATCAAAACAATGTATCTAGTCAAAGTAGATAGAGTATTAACTAGAACTCATCTGCCTCACAGGAATTGGGAGGGGCAGGAGGTGGGGTCCTATTGGGGTTTGCGGTTAAAAATAAGTATTAGTAAAGGGAAATGTGTTTGATATTTACATGACTGAGACCTAAACCCGAAGCTCTGTAACTTTTCCCACAGTGATTCAATAAAGAAATAAATTTAAAAAAAAAATCCCCAATGCCACAAAGTGAAAAAACTAAAATGAAGATTATATAACATATTGTTCTTGTAGACAGAAAAATATGCCCCAGTGATGATCATGTTCTTATTTTAACTGTTTATTGAGACAAGACTAATATATAGCATATTTGTTTTTGGGTATACAATAAATTGATTGAAGTATTTATGTACACTGACAAATTATCACAGTGTGTGTTTATCACCCTACAAACTTTTAGGACACTGCTCTATTGGCAACTCTCATGAATGTCTGCAATCTTATTGGCAGTGGCTACCATACTGTACACAATTCCTGGAAATTTTTTTAATTGGGATTTTAACAGTTCACAATGCTATTAATAACGGTTCTGGGCCCAAGCAACAGTACAATGAATAGGGCACATGTTTCACATATGGGTGACCTGGTTTCAACCCTGGTGTCCCATTTGGTTTCCCGAGCCCACCAGGAGTAAACCCTGAGCACCACTGGGTGTGGCCCCCAAACAAAAAAACAGTTTCTCAAGCACAGAATTCCAACACTACACCAGTGACTCCCTCCTTCTCCAACACTACACACACCCCAGTGACCCTCTCTCTCCAACACTACCCACATCTCAGTGACCCCTCTCTCTCCAACACTACACATTTCAGTGGCCCCTCCCTCTCCATCACTACACACATCCGAGTGACCCACCCTCTCCACCACTACTCACATTCCAGTGACCCTCCCTTTTCCAAGGACACTAAGCCCTCTCCCTATCAAGAGCGCCCCTACCCCACAGCTCGATTTTGGGTCAGTTTTCCCATTGTGTTGCCTTTGTATGGTTGTTGCTCCCTGGGTGTGTAACTTTAGGCCCCACATGAGAGAGATCTGTATCTGTCCCTTTTCTTCTAACTGACTTCACTCAGCATGAGAACCTCTAGTTCTGTCCATGTTGCTGCAAATTGCATGATTTTGATCTTCCTTAGAGCTGCATAGTATTCCACTGTGTCTATACACCACAACTACTTGATCCACTCGTCAGTTGGAATTGTGTACCTCCTGAACCCCCACCCCCTCCTGCTCTGTTGATTCTTCTGTTAAAAAACTATAAGCTCTGGGAATCACAAACACCTTTACATTTTATTCAGAGAGAGGTAAAGAAAAATTTATTTAGCACCAAATATTGTCTGTCTTCCCATATACCCACTTTAATGGAATACTAAAATTTATATGTAAAGTCACTTTGATCAATGGCCTTCAGTAACTTCAAATAACCCACAAACTATCTCAAAAAAGCCACAAACTACCTTGTGTCACCTCTACTAAGCCACAAACCCAGCTCTCTGAGCAGTGCCATGCAATGGAAGGTTTGGAAGGAAGGATCCAGAAGAAACTGTGACTGCTTACATAAATTTTTTGTACTCGATCTCATTACGAGACCTGGTATAAATAAATTTCAAATAGTTTTTGATTTTCTTTCTTTCTTTTTTTTAAGGCCAAGAAGCACAATCTAGAAAACGTGTCCATCCATACTCCTAAATATACCATAGGGGTGGGGCACGTGGCTCAAGTGGCAGAGCCCAGGCTTCACACATGTACCTGAAGCCCCAGACTTGGCCCCTGACACTTCCTGGTCACAGAGCACAGGGGCAGACATGGGGCTGGTGGCCCCTGAGCAGCCCCTGGTGTGGTTGATAGTACATAGTAACACACAAACACTCCACTGAGACACAGTTACACACTGAATTAATCAAAGACTGTTTCTTTTAAACACTTGTACTTTGAGCTGGGGGGTTAAGCACAGGAGTCAGGCTCACAACACTGGTTGGATCCTTGGCACCACAAGGGCCCCCAAACACCTACAGGAGGAGCCCAGAGAAGACAGCAGTGCTTGGGCCTAGCACTGACGCTGGGAGTGGTCTGCAAACGCTCTGAACACCACTTGGGAAGTAAAAAAAAAGTGAAAAAAATAAAAGTAGTCTCTTAGATGTGAAGTCTCTAATCCCTGGGAGCTAGAGAGAAATTCTTTAATAGAAGACTGTAAAGAGGAGTGCACAGAACAAGACATTCCAGGTTATCTTCCCCACCCCCAAGCCCCAACTTCAACAAATGGAAAGTGAAATCCTGTCTCGGACAACATACCTCTAAGAACAAAGAGGACGTTGATTAAGGGCCTGGAATGCAGCCCAGGGATTGGGCACACGCCTCACAAATATTAGGCAATGGGTTCAATCCTGGACACCTCAAAATGAAAGTGCATTTTCCAAAGGCAAGATTTAGAGAACTGCCTGTCCTTTCTGTTTAGAAAATCAACTTTTCTTTAACCCCTCTCATCCAGATTTAGTAATAAAGCTGACTTTATTTCCCACTCACCAGGGTGACAACCATGGAAGATCACCAATCAAAGAAAAAGAAGATAAACCTGTGCAGAGAGGTAATAACTTCATCTCCATGTGTCTAAGGACACAAACCAGACTCCATCTCCCTCCGCGGCCATTCAAGTATGGCCAGTCGACGGGTGGGCAGTGAAGTGCCTGGCCAGAAGTGCCTGGCGAACTTTCTCCCATGGCTCCCTCCACAGGGACAGGTCAGTGCCCGTTGGGAAAGGCACCTGATCAGAGCTGCATCAGGGAAAGCCAAGAAATCAAGGGCGCCCGTGCCTTACCTGGCCCCAGAAACCTGCCGGGTGAAAAGCATGGAGCCAAGTTGAGTGACAGCTTTGTCACGGGGTTCATCCAGTGTCTGAAGTGTCACAGCTAAAAGAGAGAGAGAGAGAGAGAGAGAGAGAGAGAGAGAGAGAGAGAGAGAGAGAGAAAGAGAGAGAGAGAGAAGGAACTTCATGAGTTTTGGATTACCAGCACGACCAGCTTCAGTGCTGAAACCTCACATTTTTTATTATCGTGTTAAATGACATTGAACACAATCACCACCTTGACTGTTTTCAAATATCGAGCAATCATCTCCTGTCAACTAACCATCACACCTGCTGTCTCTTCAATTCCGACTACTTAGGAACTTCCTGTAAGTGGGATCGTCCAGAATTTGTCTCTTTGCGACTGGCTTATTCAGAAGGTAATGGAGACATTCATCATCAAGTAGCACTGTTTCACGATAATGCACTTAGCGGTAGTAAAGCTCTGTTTTGCATATCAGACAAAAATATGCCATATAATTAGCATATTCAGAACTGGAGCAAAATTTAAATATTACCCTTCCAAAGGGTGCAATTTCCAATTAAAAAAGATAGAAGAATGACTTGATCAACCTGGCAATTTATTCAAATTGAACCAAATTGTAAGAACTTGAAAAATGAGAATGTGAACATATTCAGCCCGTACATATGACTAAGACCAACCTCAGCATGTGGTGGTGGAAGTGATCTTCCTAAGGTTGGTAAAGGTAAAGGCCCTCCCGTTGATCGTCGATTTGCTCGAGCGGGCCCAGTAACATCTCCATTGGAGACTTTGTTGTTACTGTGTCTGGCATATCGAATACTCTCGGTAGCTTGCCGGGCTCTCCGAGAGGGGCGGAGGAATCGAACTCGGGTCGGCCATGTTGGCCGCTTGTAAGGCGAACGCCCTACCGCGGTGCTATCGCTCCAGCCCTTTAATACGTCATGGGGAGCTTGCCAGGCTCTGCCGTGCGGGCGAGATACTCTCGGAAGCCTGCCAGGCTCTCCGAGAGGGGCGGAGGAATCGAACTCGGGCCGGCCACGTTGGCTGCGTGCAAGGCAAATGCCCTACCGCTGTGCTATCACTCCAGCCCTTATGGTGGGTAAAGTGGATTCTTCTTCAGACACTACTAGCAGCCACTTACTTAGGGCTTAGCAAAAATGGCAGAGGTTAGAGCAAGGCAGCAGCAGGGTTCAATCTCGACTCTATCAACCTACACCATGCACCTAGGTTATAAACCAACAAGACGGGGAGGCTTCTCAAAAAAGAGACTGGGTGACCTCCCGGAAATGGTGGTCAAATGGTTTCCCACGGAAACTCACTCCTGAAAAAGATCTGAACTACAAAGAATTGCTTTCTTACCTTTCTCGGACATACAGAAAATTTAAATTATATCACACTACATAGATTCACAAGTTTGAACAGGCAATTATGGAACACAAGAAGGAACTGAATGCATAAATGTCAACATTCGTATCATCCTGTGTAACATTCCATGTATACATGCCCAAAACATAAAGTCCTTATACAAACAGATAAAATGATCATAAACAAATAAAAACATCAAGTTATCTATAACAGTCTAATACATAAACACAGCATTAAAAACAATCAAAAATAGCTTAAATTTCTTATATTATGGTCTTTATCACACCTGGTGATGCTCAGGGGTTACTCCTGGCTCTGCACTCAGAAATCACCCCTGGTGGTGCTTGAGGGACCATATGGAATGCTGGGAATCGAACCTGGGTCAGCCGCATGCAAGGTAAACACCCTACCTGCTTTGCTATAGCTCCAGCCCCCAACTGTAGATATTTTTTTTTAAATATTTTTATAATGCTGTCCTCCCGTTGTTCATTGATTTGCTCGAGCGGGCCCAGTAACGTCTCCATTGTGAGACTTCTTGTTACTGTGTTTGTCATATTGAATACTCTTGGTAGCTTGCCAGGCTCTCTGAGAGGGGCGGAGGAATCGAACCTGGCTCGGCCAGGCTGGCTGTGCGCAAGGCAAACGTCCTACCACTGTGCTATTAGCAACAAATAATTTTGGCTAAGAGCAAAAGTTATTTTCCGTATATTCATTATAACACAATATTGGTAAGAATTCTTTTGGCAACTGTTTTACCTTTCAAATGCATAAAAAGCATTTCTAAAAACTAAACTTTTTTTTAGCTGTGTAGCTCACAGTCTTTTCAATTCTTAAAAATTATTTTACAAATAAAATGAAAACATTTAAAAAAATTCTGTTATACATTAGAAGTATACTAACCAAACCTCTGACAGCAAAATAGAGGTAAGGGGTGCTTTCAGTTCTCATTATAAATCTATATTTCAATGTAAGAAAAATATCTAACACTGAAAAGAAAAAACTAAACTTTTTTTTAATTTACAAAAGAACACTTTACTGTGTTAAGAGCTATCACTGGAACTAGAAAGAATTCACATTCTTTTAAACTTCCTCCCAGGGACAATTCAGAAGTAAAGTCCCCCCCCAACCCCCAAAGAAAAATAATTACCTAAAGATATGGGGTTGTGAGGTGTCTGCAAGAGCCTTTCTCCATAGGCTTCTGACAGTGTCTTCAGTTGGCTTGACAAATAAGAAAACATTTCCTGTGGAAACAAAGCGTAAGACTGAAAGAAAATCAAATACCTACTGCAAGCTGCTAGATTAGCAGGACAAAATCTGACTGGTGGGACGTGTGTGCTGGAACTCGGCTCACCGGGGCACGGCAGGTGTGACGTTTGTCTTTTCCCCATAGAGTGACAGTGAAGTTGCCACCCCGGTGATCGGAAACCACAGGATGAAGGTAAAGAAGGGCCAGAACCTGCCCATCCCCTCTGAGAGTCAGTGTTTGATAACTGTGCTCTCTTCTCAGAACCTCCTGGGCCACTGCTCAAGTCCCACCTACCTCTCCTGTGGACCGCTGCGATGGGCTCCTGGTCTGTCCACCCTCCCCCCGCTCCTGAGACCTGCTCCCACACAGAGACCAGAGTGGGCCTCCAAAGGGGGCATCCGCTATAAAATGGATGGCCTTGGAGAGCACCATGCGGAGTGAAGTGAGTCCGGCATAGAATGACTGCACTCATTTGTGGTAAATAGAAAAATATATAGCAGAAGACTAATATCCAAGGCCAGGGAAAACAGGGGCTAGGGAGAGTAGGTAAGAAAGAGAAGGGACCAGTATGACAGTAGTAGCTGGAAATGATCACGCTGGACAAGAACTGAGTGTTAAGAGTAGGGAAAGGGATATACATAACCTTTCAGCATCTGTATCGAAAACCAATATACCCAAAAGAAAGGGGAGGGGAAGGGGGGGAGGAGAGAGAGAGAGAGAGAGAGAGAGAGAGAGAGAGAGAGAGAGAGGAGAGAGAGAGAGAGAGAGAGAGAGAGAGAGAAACTGTCATAAAGGCAGGCTAGGAGGAGGGTGGCAGGAGGCAACCTGGGGACACTGGTGCTGGGAAATTGCACTGGTAGAGGGATGCTGTTGGAACACTGTAGAACTGAAATCTAATCACAAACAGCTTTATCAGGTTCTATCTCACAGTGATTCAATAAAAGAAAATCTTAAAAAAAAAAAAAAAGGAAGGCATCAGATCAGGCTCCTGCCCTCCAGGAAGAAGGAAAACCCAATACCTGATGGAGAATTGTCCCAGCCAACCTGGCCTATCAAACGGGGGAGCCCTTTGATAGGCCTCCCACCCCTAGCTCACAAGACACGTAGTCAGTCATACCCGCTTTTCCACCTGCCCCTGATGCGAGACCCTGGGCTCCTGGCTGCCCCCCGCCTCCCAAACTTCTTCCTGACGCCTCCCAAACTTCTCTAACGCCGCCCACCTCCTACTCCTTCCCACGCTGGAGTCTGAAACGACCTCCCCAATCGGGATGGAGAATACAGCTCCACCAGGCCCTAGGGCTCGGATTCCTGACACTGCTTTCCTCACCTCCGCATCCCCGCATCAAGAAAAAAATGGGCCACATTTTCATACAGAATTGAAGAAAAGGCACTTTTTTAAAAAAAGTGTTCTGGGGGTGAGAGGTGTTTGCGGCCACATTCAGCAATGCTCAGGGTAACTCCTGGCTCTGCCTTCAAGAATCTCTCCTGGCAGTGCTCAGGGCATCATATGGGATGCCGGAGATCAAACACTTGGCTGGTTTGATGGTGTGAGGCAAGGCAAGTGCCCTACTCACCGTACTATTATCTCTCCAACTCGAGAAAAGGTAGTTTAAAGATGCATTTCCCTTAAACCACTTTAGCAGTGTAGCACTGTCCTCCCGTTGTTCATGGATTTGCTCGAGTGGGCCCAGTAAAGTCTCCATTGTGAGACTTTTTACTGTGTTTGGCAGATCGAATACATCACGGGTAGCTTGTCAGGTTTTGCTGTGCGGGCGAGATACTCTCGGTAGCTTGCCGGGCTCTCCGAGAGGGGCAGAGGAATCAGACTGGCGTCGGCCAGGTTGGCCACACGCAAGGCAAATGCCCTACTGCTATGCTATTGCTCCAGCGCCCCCCCCCCAACTGAAAATTAACAATGAAAGGAATAAGTCCTGAGCATCACCAGGTGTGGCAACAAAAGCAAAAGAAAGAAAAATTGAAATAAAAAATCATTCCAAGTAAGTCTATAGATAAAACCCACTTGGACAGCCACAGTTAAAACATTTACATGCAAGTGATACACCAAAAGACAGGGTAAGCCGTCTACCCAAGTGAACCGGCAGAAAATGACACCTCCCCTTGGGAGGCACGGAAGCTGCTCCCTCCTCTTCAAGGTGGGGGCAGAACGTCTGCACTGGACAGGTCCCAAGAAGCTTTTTCAAGTCTGTTACCCAGACATAACTAGTTCGATTTTTTTGGTTTGATAAGGAGAAGGGGGAGGTTTCTAACAACTTCATACATGTTCAAGGAGTCTATTTAAGCCAAAACACAAAAAAACAAAAACAACAACATCCCTACTATCTATGTTTACCCTAAAAATATTCTGACCGGAAAAAAAAATTTGGTTATTCTTAAATGTTCAACATGTTTTCTAAGATTGATTCTTAATATCAGAATTATCAAATCTTAGCTAACAAAAATACGACCATCTTATACGTCCACATTTGTCAAATTTAATGAAGTCATGAGTAAATGCCACCGTTAAATGAGATAAAGTGCAGAGAAATACTTCAGAAGAGAATCAAACTCCAGCTTTAGAAGTGGGTTTGGGGGGTGGGAGGAGCAGAGGGAGGCATCTCTCCTTGCACGTAAACATTCCCAGACCTCCTACTTAAACCAATATTCTGATATGCACTTCAGAAGGTGAAACAATCTGATGCTTAAAGAAATGAAAGGCTTTTGCCATAACTGGAACAACTCAAGCACCAGTGAAGAGTAGAATTCCTGGATTTCGTTTGCATATCTCCATCCACCATGAAGTTAACTAGGTCATGGATTTGAAAGACTCAGAATTATTTATTAAAAGAAAAAGTATGTGTTTAAATCACATTCTGATTCAGATGTAATTGCTAATTTCTTTTTTTTAATTTTTATTAGTGAAACACCATGAGGTACAGTTGCAGACTTACAAATTTTTGTGTTTGGGTTTCGATTATACAATGATCAAATACCCATCCCTCCACCAGTGCCCATTTCCCACCACCAGGGGTCCCAGTATCCCTCCCACCCCACCATCCCCCCCATCCCACCCTACCTCTGTGGCAGGGCATTCCCTTTTGTTCTCTCTCTCCTTTTGGGTGTTGTGGTCTGCTGTCCACAAGGTTCCCATGCGGCCGCCATCTTTCTTTCCAGAGAGGAGAGGGCGAATGGGGCAACACCCTTTCCCCTCTGGGCAGACATGATGGCCTGGATTAACGCATAGTCCGTTCACTGTTCTGCTCCAAGCTGCTGGCTTCTGCATTAAGTTCCTTGTGCTTCTGGGGCCGTGGCCGTGCAGGAGAGCCTCGTGGGGGGCGACTGGTGACCTCGGTAGAGCGTGAAGGACGGGCCGGAACACCCCCCGTCCCATGAGGTTTCAGTCGCGCCCCCACCCCCGGCTCATACCTGCTGACCACAGTAATTGCTAATTTTTTACTCAGCTATCTTAGATACACTAAAGGTTTAACACACACGCCCGTCTAATTCCCCCAGTCTCAATTCCTCAACCTGGCATATGCAAAATCGAATCTGATCACCAGGAAATGCCTCTTACAGGCCTTTCTAACAGTTTTCTTCCTAACAGGAATAACAGCCAATCTGTTTCAGTAATGAGGACTAAATTAAGGTATTGTTGGAGCTGATACAGTCCTCAGGACCATCACAAGTGTGGTGGTACTTGCAGAGGAAGAGGTGCTTAAGAGTAGTTAATTTGTACTTAATTGACTTGGCAATTTCTAAAAAACAAAAGAGTAATGCTTCCTTAGTGACACCCCTAGAGGGTGCTTCTAAACTTGCTCAAGCGTACATAACTATTAAAACACCGAGTTTCCCTATGTTCCATCTCTAACCGTATAACAAATGGCTTTTAAACAATTCTGTCAATCGCCCCCTAATGCCATCAGAATCCAGTTTTAACAGTCGCTCACATTAGGATAAAACATCTTCAGACTATCAACATAACACTAAGGTAACTAAAACTCACCTATCACTAGTTTGGGAGTAATGAGACCAAAAAGGAAATATTTGTAAGTGAAGTTTACATTCATCTGCAAATATTTATAGTACAGCGATATGCTAGGTAATCCAACAGACAAAGTTAAAAATATCTTCAAGTGAAATATACTGAATCCTAACAATTTCCCACAAATCCAGGCCCTGCATCCTCCCCCATTAATATCACTACATTTTAAATATGTTGTTTAGGATACCGCATCACCATTTCTTACACTAAAACTTAGCTAAGCAGTTTTTTAACCTAATATATTAATGGTAGTACAGAACCTGCACTATTTTTTGCTACGGTTAAATCTATAACTGACATTTATTATAAAATACTTCTGCAAAAGCAAAAATTTATAAGCACCCCGAGCAAATATATATAGAAAGATCTTACTTAAAAGAAATGAAATATTATCGATTTTCTATGTCTTTTGTGCTGTATTTAACTTAATTTTAAAAGACTTTCCACTAGAGATAAACTGAACTGTACACCTGAATGCTAATGTCAGCTGTATTTCTAGGACGAAAACACGAGACTTTACACAGCCTCTGGAGATGTGAGTGGAAGTGGAATTAGATAGTGAGCACTGTCTTTCATATGCTTTTCGCAAACTGATTTGCAGCTCTGGCACCGATTATTCCACGTAACCCCAAAGATATGCCTAATTCTCTCCTTTTTTAAAAAAAAAGTCATATGTAATCTTGTATGTTTCATAAACATGCGGTTTTGTGCAGAGAGATTAAGATTAAAAGAAAGGAGGGATACTAGGACCTGTGGTGGTGGGAAATGGGCGCTGGCGGAGGGATGGGTATTTAATCAGTGTATAATTGAAACCCAAGCACAAAAATTTGTACGTCTACAACTGTACCTCATGGTGTTTCACTAATAAAAATTAAAAAAAAAAGAAAAAGATTAAAAGAGAGGCTGGCCTGCCCAGGTCAAATCCCTAGCACCACAGTCACGTAAGCACCAGCAGG